GTTGGTGTTTTAGCTTGAGTTATCTGTTCCCATGAATGAGGGAAATCTATTTTGGTGTGTCACAACACTTCTGAACTCAAGTGAAACAATCTGTTCATGTCTTTTAGTGACATTTGCGTCCTTGGTTGGACTTCTGGTACCTACGGTACATCTGGTCACTTCTGGAAGGAAATCTGATACATCTGCTGTCTTTTGAGGAGATTCAAGTCAAGGTGGAGATTTGTTAGAAAATGCCTTGAATCTGTATTCTAGACCTATCAGGATTAGGACTAGGAATAAGATTAGGATTATATTTTCTTAGTCTCATATTCATATATGTAGTAGCATTAGGATTACCCATATCCCCTTCCCTATATATATGGCTTGTTTGTACTCCTCAATACACGGTAGAGAAAATCTGTAATCTGGTGAGAAAATATTGAAAAATAAATCTGTTTCTCTTCTGTCCGTGGAGGTTACTAACAGGTTGTTAGTAAACCACGTTAAATCTTTGTCTTCTTTCGAGATTGTCGATTGTTCGTGTTCATACTTTCTCGTGTCTGTCATAACATGAACCTTGTAGATCCATGTCGTGGCCGGGTGATAGGGTTTCGAACCCTAGCCCAATCATCTCTCTTTCGCATTATTGCCCTCTCTGTTCTCATGCTTGATAAAGCATCGAAGAAGAAAAGAAAAAAAAACTGTAATTTATGAATCGTTTAGCATCGAAGAAGAAAAAAAAAGAAAGAATAAATCTGTAATTTATGTTGCGCTTTCACCGTGTTTCACCGATTTGCTCTTCTAGCCATGTGAAGTGCGATTAAAATGATTAAAAATGGGTTGGATTTGTAATTGGCTATTTTACACACTTAAATGTGAGGATATCAAATACGAAGCACCATGAATTATTACGATTGATTAATTTTTTGTGGCCACACTTGTAAGTGTGTAATAGCTAAGCATAATTTAATTCCTTACCACACTTGGCTATGTGTGGCAAAACAAGTGTGGTAAAAAACACATATTTTCTCGTAGTGTTAAGAAGATAAAATTCGAGTATTACAGTGAATAATGTATTTAAATGAGTATAGTGTAGTTTCAAATTTTACAATATCTTTTTTTAATTTTAAGAGTAAGGTAGTGTGTATGTAGTTATTTTGTGGAGGATTAAAAGTTTTAAAATAATCATCGATAAATCACGAGCATAATGTTTGAAGACCAAAAATGAAGTTTTATAATGTACTACCTCCGTCCCAAAAAGATTTACACGTTTTGACTAAAGTTGAAATTAAGGGAGGGATAATTTTGTGTTGATTTTCCAAAAATACCCTTGATCTGATGGGTAAAAATAGAGTGTGATGTGTAGATTATTAAGAAAAAGGTATGATGTGATAGGTAGGGTTTGAAAAAGTAAGGAGTAAAAGTGGTTTTTTAATAGAAATGGGTAGGAGATTGTGGGACGCACTTTTTCTAAGAGCCTATTTTTTAGAGCTTGAACTTTTAATTTCCAGTTTCTTCCAGTTCTTTCTAGTTTCTTCTAATTTCTTCCAGTTCCTTCCACTCTAAAAACAATATATTATTATTATTATTATTGTTGTTGTTGTTGTTGTTGTTATTATTATTATTATTATTGAAGAATTATTATTTTCATTGATTGAATGAGTTGTGATTACATGAATATATATAGGGGGAGTCTCAATCCTAAACAAGGTAGGAGAGACACAAGTAAGGAAACCTATACAAATAAGGTAAGGGAATAATACAATATATTAAATATATACAATATATTTAACATGCTCCCGGCTACGTCGGATACGGAGGAGGTCTGATTCCCAAGCTTTGTCTGAAGTCCAGAAATAATAAGGAAGGCAGTCCCTTAGTGAAGATGTCAACATACTGTGAAGACGAGGGAACGTGGAGAACACGCACCTGGCCCAGTGCTACTTTGTCATGGACAAAGTGAATATCAACTTCCACATGCTTGGTGCGCTGGTGCTGCACAGGATTTGTCGAGAGATACACAGCGCTGACGTTGTCGCAAAAGACAAGGGTGGCACGCCGAAGGGGTTGCTGCAGCTCAAGTAGTAGTTTCCGGATCCAGCTCGTCTCTGCTACGGCGTTGGCCACGACGCGATACTCGGCTTCGGCACTGAAACGAGAAGTGGTAGCCTGACGCTTGGACGACCAGGAGACTAGATTATCACCAAGAAAGACACAGTATCCAGAGGTGGAACGGCGGGTGTCTGGGCAACCGGCCCAGTTAGCATCGGAGTATGCCTGCAGGGAGTCGGTGGAGGATCGTGCCAGGTGGATGCCATGGGTGGAGGTGCCACTAAGATAGCGCAGGACAC